GCTCTGAGAAGTAAATAAATTAGTATCTGGAGTTTTAGAAAACATTTCTCTGTACATGTGTGCACCTGTTGGATGTTTTTGTGCACTTTAAGTTTTAAACCATTTGTTTCCTGCTGAAGGAAATGTTGTGGTTGATTATCTGGATTTAAGTTCAGTTTTATGTTTTACATTTTGAGATTAATGACAGCCCTCATCTTAAACAGGGACAGAGTCAGTGTGTTTCTGTCAATGTGACCCTCTGTCACAGGACGACCAAAGACCACCCCCAGGGGGGGACCAGGAAGTTGATTTTTATTTTATTTTTTTACAAATATTGAATTTCTTTATTCGTGCGAGTGCAACAGGATGTGACGTCACCACTCAGCGGCTCAGTTTCTGGGTTTTTGATTAGCTTTTTTTAAATTGTAATATAAATTGAAGTGTACAAACGTTTAGGGAAATAACAAGAATAAACAGGTKAAATAACATTTTCAAGGCACAAGATAAAATAGAGCAAACAATAGAAATAARGAAAAGAGAAAAATCCTACACATTCACACAGTTGTAGATAACTTCAATCAGAAGTCTGCAAATATTTTCAAAATTTCAAATCCCTTCCACAGAGACTTTACATTCTTACATTTCATACGTTTTAAAGCAAGTAAATAATTTTCAACAAGATGTTTTTTAAACACATTAAAGATAGGCTTTACCTTTGTCCATTTACAGCAGAGAATGAAAAATGGGAGTTCAGGTTTATGTAAAACCAGCAGCTGCAGGGAGAAGACCCTGGTTTCACTGATAAGACTCAAGGCCTCCTTCTTCTGTGTTGTGTGTCTGACAGAGAGATGGCACACTGAGTGCGGGTCGCAGTGCTTACATTAACTACTGTGGGATTCTGCAGCAGTGTGTCCAAGCTTACATCTCACAGCAGAAGGTGAAAACCTCTCTGTTCTCACGTTTCTGTTTCGTTTTTCTGTTTTTACACAAAGAAAAACTCTTCTCTTCTTGTTGCTCCTCAGAGCTCGACTCCATGGAGAGGAGCGTTGTGTGGCGAGGCTCAGACTCTACTCGAGTTTTATGCTACGCAGAACAACCTGTCTCCTTTTCTGCAGGACCTGGCGTAAGCATCGTGGTTTTCCTTAACAGATGGTTGTGCTGAAACCAAACGACTGTTGTTTTACTGGAACATGTGAGGATGTTTGGTCAGGTGAACATTTTCACAGCGTTTACACTGGGAAMACTGGAATGACTGGTACTGGATCATGCTATACTTAGTGCTGATGTAACTGGATTGGAATTTTATTTTTTTTATTGAAACTTTATTTAACCAGGAAGTCCCATGGGGATTAAAAACCTATTTTTTTAAGAGAGACCTGTCAAGATAAGCAGCAGCAACAAATACAACACATTAACCGTGCAGCTGTGATGGGTTGTGTACAAGCTAATAGTGTGTCAGAATGGTATATATTTATACTTCTCATCCAA